AAACATTGAATTTAAGGTTTTACTTTGGTAAAATAAAATCCAGAATGTCAAATTAAACTGATTGGGATTTTCTGTACATTCAAACAGGGCCCCTTCCCGTTTCAAACAGGAAATAAACTAGTTTGGAATTAGTGGCACACCAAACAGGGTCCTTCCCGTTTTTTGCATTCTGTTTGAATTATTAACAGATTCAAATCTTGTTGTAAATCAGAAACCAACCAAGTATCATACCTGTTCAATTAACTAACCAAGAGCCACCTTTACAGTCTTTAAATACGACCACTTCATTTGATGTTAATTCATCGAGAAATTTTCGTATTTAACCTCTACGTTATTCTAGTTCTTCATTTGTTACATTTTATTTCTGAAAAGAAAAACATGGAAGTCCCAAATGGTGTTTCACCCTTCTTGAATGTTGAAGAGGGGCTCAAAATAAGCCTAATATCAGTTTACAACATGCTCGAAAACAGATTGCTCATGGGTCAAAAATAGCATGCAAAACTATGACATACAAGAGGATCAATGAAGCAAGTGTATCATGGAGGGCTCAAACAGGGTTGAGCCCTTAATGAGACATGAAAATGAGCTCAAAATAATGATCTTTCTAGTTTTGGTCGGAGCTCAAATGTACAAGAAAGAAAGGCTAAGAAATGTTGCAAAAATGAGCTCAAAAGAGGGAAAGTGGACTTACCCTTGAAGATCAATTCTTTTGTTGCTTCTTGGGCCAACTTTGTTGCCTCTTAGCTTCTGGAATTCCTCTCCTTGCTCTTGGAATGGAGTGGTGGTGGTAGAGCTTGGTGTTGTAGTGTAAATGGTGGTGTAGTACTTGAAGCTTTTTAGGAAAATGAGAGAGATGGAGGAGGATTTGTCTCTTGAGGCTTGAAGAACCAATTTTCTAACCTCCTAAAGGGGAGGAGAGGTTCTCTTTATATAGAGAAACCAAAGGGGCAAAGCTTCTCTTGGAAGCTTTGACCAAAAGGGTCAAGCTTCTCTTAGAAGCTTGGAGCAAAAGGGCCAAGCTTCTTGGAGAAGCTAGGCAAAAAGGGTCAAGAGGTTCAAGCTTCTTGGAGAAGCTAGCCAAAAGGGTCAAAAGGTTCAAGCTTCTTGGAGAAGCTAAACAAAAAAGTTCAAAAGGTTCAAGCTTCTTGGAGAAGCTTTAAAAGGGTCAAAAGGTTCAAGCTTCTTGGAGAAGCCAAAAAAAGGGTCAAGCTTCTTGGAGAAGCTAAAAGAGGTCAAGCTTCTTGGAGAAGCTAAAAAAGGTCAAGCTTCTTGGAGAAGCTAAAAAAAAAGGTCCAAAAGGGTCAAGCTCCCTCAAGAAAAGGTCTCGGTTAGGAGAAGTGGCCGATTGATCAAAAATAGTGGCCGGCCATGAACTTTTAGGGTCCTCCCATGTGTGTACATCACAAATATGTGGTTTGGGGTTGAAGAAAGTGGCCCCAAGGTGTTCAACATTGGCTCGGAAGTGGGAAAAAACGGGTGTCGGAGGGCGAAAATGGAATATAACTGGTTGCTAAGATAATTGCTAGCCTCCCACCCTCCAGTGACCTTCCTGGTGATAAGACAAAGGCACCTGCCAAAAATGAACGAAAATCGATGCAAAACAAATGCTTGGGGGCCAAAACACGCAGTTCGGGATCCCGAAAATGGGCTGTTAAGCACCGAAAGTGGCATTCGGCCACGAAGTGGGTTTCTCTGACCCCAGTGTCCCTCAAAAGGGAGAAAATAAGATGTATGCCAAAATTTAGAGCAAATTGAGAGGGTTAAGCGGTCCCGAACCAAGGCACACGGCCTGACAGCTCCGAAAACCGGGAACCGGGCTCCGAAATGGGCAAAATGGCCTATAGCCACAAAATGTAGCCCACAGCCACTGAGAGATGGTCTACAGGACCTCTCCCTCCCCTCAGGAAAAGAAACAGAGAAAACCGAGTCTGGTTCGCAAACCGAGACAAGGCACAGAAAAGGGTTCGGAAGTTCGGAGGCAGGGCTCACGGCCGCGACTCTGAAACTTCTGAACAAGCACGATATGCAACGTCACCGAGCGCTCAATCGGTGATGTCTGAGTCTTGAGGTCGGTCAAAAATGGGGTGTCTACACTCAAGGCCTGCCCAAAAGCCCAGCCCACCCGGCCTACTCGATACCCAATGTTATTTTTAATGGAAAATAATAAAATTTTGGTGGAAAAAATAAAAAAAAATAAAAAAATTGTTTAGGCCTGCCCAAGCCCGCTCAAACCTCGGGGGCCCGACCCACTGGCCCACCCAAAGCCCGAATACCCTGGGCCTGGGCCTTGTTTTCTGGCCCGTGGGTCGGCCCGGCTTGGCTCGATATTTTGGCGGGAGCCCGCAAGGCCCGACATGGGCCGGGCCGGGTCGG